GCACATCCCAGGCCCAGAAGCTGTCCCCAGCCCAGGAGCCTCATACGCTTTTGCTTTGAGTTCTGCAGGCTGCTAAAAGCAGGATTCATTGACAAGAGAAAAGCCTGGGCTGTTAGATGGTTATGCTTTGCCTTTCAAGCCAAGGGTGTCTCAATTTGCCAAGAAATGCGTGGGCTCTGCTGAGCCCCTGTGAGAGGACAGGGGCTGTGCTGTCTGGGTTAGTACTGTGCACAGGGTGGTCAGAGCCCACAGGAATCAATGGGAGCCTCTGCATTCAGGCCAGTGGGCTCAGAACCAGGCTTCTGTAACCCGCCCCTCTGCATCACCTCCTACTTCAACCCTTGAATTTCCCTTCGCAAGCAAGCTTGGATCACGGTCTGCCTTCCTCCAGCCCCATGCGTGTCCCCTTGCATACAGTAGCAAGGGAGGAGCTTGAAACAAGGGATTTGCACGCTGTGTCCAGCCAGGTGGGCACTGGCCAATAGGCTTTCCTGAGCCATACAGGTGTTTCTTGTTCAAAAAGCCACAGAACTTAATAAGCTGCTTAAGTCTAGCACAAGCTTAACTCCAAGGAGACTCTAATCACACACAGTCTTTTTCCTGGAGGAGCGATGCTGCTCTGCATCTCTCCAGGAGGTGCTCGCCCGCTTCCCAACAGCTCACTCATGCTCAAAGAACTCATGGCAAGCAGCAGTGACCATCGCAATGAAGGCTACAAACTCCTGGAAGTCGCATTCTGCATCCCCATCGCTGTCCAGTGCCTCCATGACTTTGTCCACAGTCTCCTGGTCTTTGATCTCCTGAAGGGATAGAAACAGGCAGCCAAAGCTAGGGAGGATCAGAGTGAGGCCCAGGCAGTAACATCGCCCTGTTTTTCGGGTGCTCTCATGGCTGAATCTCTGTTCAAACACATCCCAAAGAGCTCGTGGCTGTTTCCCGTGTGTGTTGGAGCACCACCCTGTGCCTGCAGCAGCATCTGCACAACAGCAGCCCTGAAGCAGGAATGTCGAGCCCCCTGGGGCAAGGCTGTTCCCCCTTCCCAGGGGAAGGAAATTTCCCTGGTATCCAACCCAAACCCCGGCCCCCAACGCAGGCTGTTGCCCTGGTCCCACCACCAGCTGCTCCTGTGGAGCTGGAGCAAAGTGTTTAACACACTGCTGCATGAATAAACCCCTTCCGCTGTGCTTGCTTCCCATGGGAAATGGAGATAGCAGAGCCTGGCGGCTGCTCGACATGGCTCCCTGAGCCCAGCCAGGCATTCTGCGTGGAGGGCAATACTTACACCAAGGAAATGGGTCAACTCATTGTTAATGAGCTCCTTCAGTTCTGATTTCTTCAGCTTATGCTTGTCTCCCTCCTTCCCTGAGTACTGGTGGAAGGCATCAATGATGGCGATCATGGCCTTCTCCAGCTCAGACATGGTCACAGCACGGTCCTGAGGTCAGAGGGAACAATGGGTAATTTAGCCCGGGCAAGGTCCAGTGATGCCTTTTGCTTTGCAAGTGCGGATGCCCCTGGGGATCCCATCATGCATCAGCAACGCTGGACCCCACGCTCAAAATATGCTGCTGAAAAGCACTGCTAGCAGCTCTTGCTTCAGGGAGGAAGATACCAAGACACCTTGGCTCTGCCTCCAGGAGCTCTTGCGAAGAGGACAGCAACAACATGAGGAGTGCCCAGTACAGGACTGGCGCATTTTGGGAGCTGACTCACATCCCCTGGGACTGATGTGAGTTTGGCAAATTGGGTCTCTGTGTGGGCAGAGCATAGGAGAGAAAATGACTAGGAGAGGCTGCAAAGCTCTGGCAGCTTCCAGCAGGGTGCTCCTGCATTTTCCATACGTGCAGGCCTGGCTAGCAGGCAGCACGTTGTCACTTCACCTCTTTGGCTCCCGCTGCTTAACCCATTGCTTTGTTCTCCTTGCTTGGGAGAGGAGCAGGCAGGGGGGTAATGGACCTTCAGAAAGGTTTTGCTGTCGCCTGTCACAGGTGCTCTCTCCTCTGCCTTTCTTGCCTGCAGGCCTATCTCCAGCTGAGCAGTCAGGGGAACCTGAGCAGGAACTGGCTCTGATGAGGGCCAGCAGATCAAAATAAGCACATCTCTAACCTCCCTCCTCCCTTGCTTGATCTGGAGACCCTCTCGGGAATGTTAATAATTGGGATTGCAGCCTTTCCTGCGGGTTTCACAAATGAAAGAGGCTGATCAAAAAGGGACAGATGCAAAACCTCCTTCCCAAAAGCTGTTGAATGCACTGATGCTGGGAGCGGAGGGGAAGCCTTATTGTCTGGCACTCATTTAATTCATACCTCACAGATAAATGTCTCCTGCCCTGCAGCCTGCCTCCTGTTTCACCACCACAAGGCCCAACACCGAAGGCGCTGAATCTCATCCCACAGCCTGACTCTCAAGCTGACGCCCTCCCCTGCGCAGCACTCAGTGTCCAAACTGCAAGACCGTTTCCAATCAGGTAGGAAATACTTCTGAAGCACTTCACGCTCGCATCCTAGCAGCCCTTTGCATGCGCGTGCCCTGCCTGCGCCAGGCTGAGCTAGCTGCCAGCGGCGCTGCCAGCCTCCCATCCACAAGGCTGAGGAGTGTCTCAGCTCCCCGCTGGCCTCTGCGGGGCAGAGCTTGAAGCTGCAGTGGTGCCCCCCGCGCCACCCCTCCCGTGGCAGCAGCCAAGCCCCTGCCCCAGCATCTACCGGCCCCTCTCACCTCACTGTTGGTGTCGGGGCTGTGGCACAACGGTGCGATGCAGCTGAGCGCCTGGGGGACTCGCTGGCTTCTTATGCCCCGGGGGCGGAGAGCCCCAGGCCTTGCCACAGCACACACGACGTCAATGGCAGCTGGAGGCGGGGGTGTCCAGAGCCAGGCGCTGGGCCCGTACTGCGCAGTGTTGCACACAGGGATGCATTGACTCGCTGCCAGCCCACAGCTGCAGATGTAGGAGCCATTGCGGAGAAAGCTGCCATTGTGAGAAAAAATGTAACAGAGCAGTCAGCAGGAGAGCCAGCCTGGCGGCATCGCTTGTGCTGCCGCTCTCGTCCATGGTAAAGGCCATGAATTGTGAGCCACAGCTGGACAGGCAGGGTCAGAGCTGAGCTGAGGGCCCCAGCGTCTGCCCCAAGGTGCCCCACAGCCAGGGCCAGGCACGTGGGAAGGATGGAGCCCCCTTACCCCTGTGAGCTGTGTCGCAGGGCTGCAGCACCCTCTGGGGCAGAGGTTTTTCTTTGCGTGTGACAGGAACATCTGTCATGGCAGCTTTTGCCTGCAGCCTCTTGACCCTTTGCTGTGCACCTCTGAGACGGGTCTGGCTGTGTCTTCTCTGCCACCCTGTCATTCTGGGGGACAGTGGGACCCTTTGAGGGGGAATTGTGATTGTATCAGTCTGCAAGTGGTTAAAGGACAGAACTGGCAGTGGAAGCAGCTCCTCCCTGATGCCTGCCAGGGCACCCTCACGAAATGCCACACCCGGTGCTGTGGGTCACAACGTGCTCCCACGAGACCGTCACGCCACCCTTCTGCCTGGGGGCACAGCGGGAAAATCCTGCCCGCGCCTACCTGCTGTCCGTGCCAGGGCTGTCCTGGTGGCATTGCTCAGAAGTCCTCTGCCAGCCCCGGCAGCAACCACGGGCGTTAAATGCCTCTTGTTTCAACCTGAGAGCTGCAAGGTTCCCTTCCCACCACTGGCTCCCTCGAGGCTGGTGCACAGAGGTGATGCCTTGGGGGGCAGCCTGGCAGGGAAGGAGGAGCTGGAGGGGAACAGGTGACAAGCAGCACGAGCAGCAAGCGGTGTCTTTCACCCAGGCTGCTCCTGGCGGCGCAGTGCAAGTGGGTGGTTGATGAACACAGAGAACATGCTGAAGAAAGCAGGTTTTTCACTGTTTCACTGCCTAGCCACGCAGTTTCCCCAAGAATAAGATGGGATGTGCCAAAGTTGTTTGCTGTTACTGGTGTGGCCTGTTTCCATGTACGCCTTTTTCACTGCAGCACAGGATCAATAATTGCTTTATGCCTTAGGCCTTTGTTGAATTCCAGACTCAGTGCCACTCGGAGCACATCACCACTGTTACTGAGAGGACAGGTTAGCAATACCCATGATGGAGAGCCCAGAGGTGTCATTTTATTACCACAGTCAGCTTTTGTGGAGAAGTGTGAGAAGTACAAGAGCCTTACACGTGTGCCTGTGGGGTAGGATGATGGTCTGGACCTCTTCAAAAATGTCCCTTTGAAGAGGCAAGACTGGGTTGCTGGGCAAACACAGTCCCTGGCGGTTCCTGTGTTCAACAAAGCTACCATGGGTGCAGCCACTGAGACAACACCTACCAGGTAACTTAACAGTTTTTCACATACCAGTGTGAAAGAAACCCATCCACATTGATAATTTCCTTACATCGGCTCTTGAAAGCTTTTGTAACAGCTTCAAACACTGGTTTGGGGAGAAATAGTTTCCCCAGTGCTAAGGTTGAGTATGTTGACTCTAAATACAGACCTGACCACTGAAATTCTCGCATTTATGGCATTGGGAACTGCAGCAGTGATCTGTGCCCTCGTTGGACTGGCAGGGACAGGAGGCATGCTTTTAGGCAGTGGTGTTTCCAGTGTGGAGATAGTTTGTCAACAGTCTTGCAATATTCAGTTTTTTCCAAGGATGTTTGTGTTCACTTAAGAGCTGGCTATAAATGGGGCTCTCTGTCAGCAGGAAAGAAATGGTATTTTTCTTGATAGAGAGAAATTTGATCTGGTGGATATCTTAGCTCAGTCATTAGCCAAGAAGTGCATCAAAGCACACTATTTGTAGTCAGAGACAAGGTCCTCGCTTGGCCTTGTTAAACCATTTTCTGATGTCACTCTTGAAAATGACCTTTTCTTAAAATGGAACAGAAAAATCAGCATTTGGCAGATCAAAACCTGAACAGTCTTGAAAGTCTCTTTCCTGCTTATTCTTACTGTCCATTTCACCCCAAATCATTCTGACTTCTGTATTTTACAGGGAAAGATCTGCTGCACAGGCTGATAGGGTGGAAAGGAGCAGCGGGATCAAGTGTGAACACCAGAAGCCTTGGCCCTTTCATGCCTCTTCTAATGAGCGGCTCCAGGTGACTTCCTTGATCCTTGTCCAGGCACATGCCCTAGCAAACACTGCTCTCCTGGCCTGGGTCGTCCCTGACCTGGCCTGTGAAAGTCCAGGAGGTCTGGGCATGGGTGTGGGGCTGCAAGCTGGCTGTGCTTTTAGTGCTGCCCAAAGAGCTCCTTCTATTATTTTAAAATTCGTGATCCTGATCGTTGAACAGGAGAGTATAAGCTTGGGACTCCTTTCCTCAGGGTCTCCGCTTCCTTGCCAGAGCTTCGGGCTGATGTGTTTAAAGAAACAGAGGTTCTTACAGAGCTCAAAGCCAGGGAAAACACTTCAGCCCTCTGCCTGTCTCCCTCTCCCCAGTAAAACACAATGTGGGCTCTTCATAGCAGGCTCAGGGAGAAAAGCCAGTGTATTTCTTTGTCTCTTTGGTGTATGTGGCACCAGGCTCTGCCAGACCACGAGACAAAGGCTGGCGGTCATTGAACTGGGAGAAAAAAGTAATGAAAGCAGAGGAATTTGGGTGGGAGAAGGAAGAAGCTGCTTCTGCCTCTGCAGGGCTGTGCTCACAGTGCTAGCACACAGAGCAGTGTTGCAGAGAGCGGGTTCCCCGGCCCTGTGCCATGGTCACTGTGTCCATTTCTGAACCCACAAACATGGCAGCCAGAGATGAGCTAGGGTCTTCATGGGAAGCCTCGGACGATGCCTAGGAGCAGAAACACCAGGACATATCTGGGAACTGGGCTGGTGCTTGTTGAAGTTGTTGAAGGGAGACAATGGGCCTGATTTAGTTCCTTGCACATAGGTCCAGGGAGCCTGAGGGGTTGTGTTTGCCCCAGGAGGGACCGCTGGGCCCTGCAGCATCTCTGCCAGCCCTGTAAAATGTCACCTCTGCCTCCACCTGAGGACGAGGAGAGGCTCGGCAGGCTCCATGGGATGAGCAGTGGGTCTTCTTTGCCCCCACAGAACAGACTCACAAGGTTAAGAAGGTGCCTCCCTCATGGGAACCACAGGCAAAGGTAGCTTTACATCCACCTCCATCTCATAAATCCTGGGCTCTGGCTAACTGCCATTTACCCCAATCCCTTCGTTCTCCCACCGTCCTCCCAGCACAACCATGCACTAGGGTTGCAGAGGAGCAGCTCTGGACCTTGCTGCTGGCAATCTTGGCAGTTTTTGTGACCCCTTAGGAAAACACCAAATAGCACTGCTGCCACTGCAACAAATTCTCTGGAGTTGAAAACACTGGGATGTTCTTGTCTGAAACATGGCCTCGAGCTTACCTCAGTTCCTGGCTGAATTCAGCTGAAAAGGTCTAGGAAAATGTTCTCCATCAAATCTGTGCTGAGAGAAG